GAGAAACTAACATCCTATTTATAAGAAAATAGCACACTAACCTAATGGGCTTTTTAACAATTACCCATTACAAGCTAACTTAGGGTACAAGCTAACTTAAACAATTGGGCATTCAAGCAAGGCCCAATTCAACATGTTAACAACCCTAGCAATATTGACTAATGCATGTTAGAACAAACTTCGACTACAACATGCATTACTTACGAACAGACTTCGACAACACTAGAGTTCGATCCAACATCTCACAAATCTCCACCTTGGATCTAACTCTATAACATCAAGAAAATAGCTTTCTTCATGCAGCTTTATTGACTGCATACAGTGGAAAAACTTGCAACTGGGCAACGTCTTGGTGATCATATCAGCAGCATTATAATTTGTCGAAACCTTCAACACTTGGACTTCTCCACGCTCGATTACCCCTTTGATGAAATGCAGCCTCACATCAATATGCTGGGTTCGCTCATGATAGGCTGAATTCTTCGACAGGTGTATTGCACTTTGACTATCACATTTAACAGTGATAACTCGACCTTGAAGTTTTAGCTCATTTGCAAAACCTTGAAGCCACAATGCTTCCTTCATAGCTTCAGTTAGGGCAATATACTCCGCTTCAGTGGTTGATAAGGCAACGACCTTCTGAAGTGTTGCTTTCCAACTGATTGTTGTCCCAAACATAGTGAACACATATCCAGAGATAGATTTTCTGGAATCCATACAACCTGCATAATTAGAGTCGACATATCCATCGATTGCTGCTTTACTATCTTCACCCAAGGCTCCACCATAAATTAGGACTCTATTCAGAGACCCATTTATGTACCTTAAAATCCACTTCAATGCTTGCCAGTGAGCCTTTCCAGGATTCTCCATGTACCTGCTTACAAGACTTACTGCATATGCTATGTCGGGTCTAGTACAGACCATAACATACATCAAAGAACCTACTATGTTAGCATATGGAATGCTATTCATATAATTTCTTTCAACATCAGTGCTGGGACACTGATCTATACTCAGCTTGAATTGAGGGTTTGTCGGAGTCACAATAAGCTTTGAATTCGACATACCAAACTTTTCGACAACCTTCTATAGGTATGCCTCTTGAGATAAGCATAATTTCAAATGCTTTCTATCTCTCCGGATGTCAATCCCAAGAATCCTGGACGCAGCTCCCAGATCCTTCATTTCGAACTCTTTATTGAGTTCAGCCTTCACACTCATTACCTCTTCGACATTGTTGCTTGCTATTAGAATATCATCCACATAGAGCAACAAAATAACAAATGAATTACCCGGTCGAAATCTGAAGTAAACACAGTGGTCGAACTGGCTTCTGATGAAACTTATGTGTGCCATGAACTTGTCGAATCTCCTATTCCACTGTCGAGGAGATTGTTTCAGTCCATATAAAGATCTATTCAGTTTGCACACATAATCTTCCTTCCCCCTTTCGACATACCCTTTAGGTTGCCTCATCAGGATTGTTTCATCTAGATTGCCATACAAGAACGTAGTCTTCACATCCATCTGTTCCAGTTCAAGGTCGAACTGGGCCACCATGGCAAGCAACATTCGAATGGATCTGTGCTTCACAACAGGAGAGAACACATCATTAAAGTCGATACCTTCTTTCTGAGTGAACCCCCTAGCAACCAATCTTGCCTTGTATCTCTTCGACGTCACTCCTTCAATTCCTTCCTTAACTTTGAAAATCCATTTACAGCTGACTAACCTGGCTCCAGCAGGTTTCTTGATCAGTTCCCAGGTGTTGTTATCATGAAGAGATTTCATCTCATCATCCATGGCCTTCAGCCATTCAGTCTTCTTTCGACTCCTCATAACTTCCTTATAGTCTCTAGGATCTTCATCTAGAACCTCACTAGCAAAGATTAAGGCATAAGCTATAAGATCTGCATACCCAAGTCTCTGAGGTGGCTTGATGACTCTCCTCGACCTGTCTCTTGCTAGCAGGTAGTCATTATCAATCTCCTCATCTTCGACAGCATCTTCTGCATCTTCTTCGACTTCATTTGGGGTAAGCAATTCAGCATCAACATGCTCCACCTCAACAGGAATCTCTCCCTGTTCCAGCTCTTCGTCAGCATCATCAGTTTTCTTGAAAGCCATCTCTGCTTCATTGAAAACTACATCTCGACTGATGATACACCTTCTGTGACCTGGCTCTAGGCACCATAGCCTATAAGCTCTGACTCCTTCAGGGTATCCCATGAACATGCACTTCAGAGCTCTAGGTTCGACCTTGTCTTTCCTAATATGAGCATAGGCCACACAGCCAAATACTCTCAGTCTGTCGAGACTAGGTGGATGTCCCGACCAAACTTCTTCAGGTGTCTTCATTCCCAAGGCAGTCGAGGGACATCTATTTATCAGGTAAGCTGCTGTCGAAACAGCTTCTGCCCAAAACACCTTCTTCAATCCAGCACTAACCAACATGCATCTAACCCTTTCAAGGATTGTTCAATTAAATCTCTTAGCTAAGCCATTTTGTTGAGGAGTACCTGCTACAGTCTTATGCCTTGCAATCCCAGACCCAACACAGTAACTGTCGAAAGCTTTGTTTCAGAATTCAAGGCCATTGTCGATTCTCAACCTCTTAACCTTTCTGCCAGTCTGAGTTTCGACTAGAATCTTCCAACTTTTGAAATTCTCAAAAGTTTCATCCTTCGTCTTCTGAATGAATACCCATAGCTTTCTGGAATAGTCATCAACAATGGATAGAAAATACCTTGCACCTGAGTGTGAAGGATTCCTTGCAGGCCCCCAAAGATCAGCATGAATGTAATCCAGGGATCCATGTGTTCTTTGCTTGCCTTTGTTAAACTTCACCCTACAGGATTTACCAAATACATAAGATTCACAAAATTCCAACTTTTCAACTTTGTCACCTCCTAGCAGGTTCTGCTTCCCCAATTCGACCAGACCTCTTTCGCTGACATGGCCCAATCTCATGTGCCATAATTCTGTCTTCGACATAGATTTCGTGGATGCAACATTTGTCGAACCACTTACAACCTCAGCCTCAAGGGTATACAAGCCTTGTTTCTTCACGCCTCTCAAGACTTCCTTCGACCCCTTCATGACTCTTAGGATACTTTTCTCTCCTTGAAAAACGTATCCTTTTCTCTCGAATTCACCAAGAGAAATAAAATTTCTCTTCAAGTCAGGTACGTACCTGACTTCAGTCAATAACCTTATTGACTCATCATGGAGCTTGAATCTCACAAATCCAATACCTGCAATTTTGCAATATTTGTTGTTTCCCAGCAGCACAGATCTACCATCTTGATCACATAGCTCCTCAAACAATTCTATGTTTGGAGTCATGTGCCAAGTGCAACCTGAATCCATAATCCACTCTTTCCTCGAGTCGCCACTTGAAACCACAAGAACATCAGATGAGTCAAAGTCATCTTGAACAATGACTGCATTGCCATTACCTCCATGATCTTTCAGGCGTTCAGGGCACACCTTTCTTATGTGACCCTCCTTCTTACAATGATAACATCGAATACTAGATGTTTCGCCACTATAAGACTTCTGTTGACTTTTACCTTTCTTCTTGTCGAACTTACCATCCTTTCGCAAGAATTTTCCCTTAACGGCCAAACCTTCGCCCATCGTCGAAGGTTTATGCTCCTTTCGTTCATTTAAGTCCTTAGAATACAAGGTTGATTGAACTTCTTCAAAGGTCAGGGACTCCCTTCCATACAAGAGAGTTTCTTTGAAGTGATCATGTGTTCTGGGCAAAGCACACAGCAGCAACAGTGCTTGATCTTCATCATCGATCTTCACATCAATATTTTCAAGATCAAGAATCGGCTTGTTGAACATATCCAACTGCTCAACCAACACTTTGTCTTCACTCATCTTGAATGAATATAAAGCTTGCTTCAGGTATAGTCGATTCACCAGAGATTTGGTCATGTACAAACTTTCAAGTTTCACCCATAATCCCGATGTTGTAGTCTCCTTTGATACCTGTCGAAGAACCTTATCACCAAGGCTCAACAATATTGCGTTGTGGGCTTTCTCGATCATGCCCGTCTTTTCTTTTGCCATTAACGCAGCGTCCATGGCTGCCTCACCCTTCAACGCTTCCAAACAACCCTGCTGAACCAACAGGGCTTTCATCTTCAAGCGCCACAAACCGAAGTCGTTCACTCCGGTGAACTTTTCAATCTCATACTTTGTTGAAGGCATCTTCTCCACGCCCACCGCACCAATTTGTTGTGAATCGGATACCTTTAAACAAAGTATAAACGATTTCTTTCTTATCAAGAAACATACAAGGGTTAGGTTTAATAAAGAAGACAAGGTAAAACAACAAGGAACAACAAGGATTGATTATTAAACTGCTATTCTTTCCTTTCTCTTAGAACAAGATTACAAGTATACAAGAATAACAAAATAACCTCTCTCCCTTGAAATTAGGATTTTATCTTCCTATTTTTCCTTATTCCAAGATTGAGAAACTTGCATCCTATTTATAAGAAAAATAGCACACTAACCTAATGGGCTTTTTAACAATTACCCATTACAAGCCAACTTAGGGTACAAGCTAACTTAAACAATTGGGCTTACAAGCAAGGCCCAATTCAACATGCTAACAACCCTAGCAATATTGACTAATGCATGTTAGAACAAACTTTGACTACAACACGCATTACTTGCGAACAGACTTCGACAACACTAGAGTTCGATCCAACATCTCACAGTTCGCTTTAGTGGTGGAATGTTTGTTGCTTTTGGTTAAGAAGGCTACTGACAGTAACATGCAGAGAGGTTTTCAATTGAACAATGAAAGTTCTGTTAGTTTATTACAATTCGCGGACGATACCATAATCACATGTGACAATTCTTGGATTAATTTATGGGGTATAAAATCTATTATAAGACCTTTCAAACCGACTTCTGATTTACATGTGAACTTTTAGAAAAGTTGCTTGTATGGTGTTGGGGTTGATGAATGATTTCTAATGGCAGCCTCTCAATTTCTCGCGTGCAAGTCTATCCTGCTTCCATTTAAGTTTCTTGGACTGTCCGTTGGTGGTAATCACAGGCAGTTAGCGTTTTGGAGACCGATTATTTCTTATATTAGGAAAAGGCTTTCATCGTGGAAGGGTAGGCTTCTATCCATTGGTGGTAGGGTCACATTAATTAACTTCGTTCTTACGAATTTTCCAATTCATCATCTATCTTTTTTCAAGGTGCCGACGAAGGTGATAAAAGAGATTGTATCGATACAACATAAATTTTTGTGAGCTGGAACAATAGAAAAGACGAGTATGTCTTGGGTGAGTTGGTCTACGGTGTGTAAGAACAGAAGGACTTAGTATCAAAGATGTAGGTGACTTTAATATTGTGTTGCTTTCAAAGTGGCTGTGGAGGTTCACTCATGAGCATGATGCACTTTGGTATGATATTCTTGAAGCTCGGTATGGCAATTTGAGGAAGAGAATTATTTCAAAACGCGGTTTCGTAGCAGCAGGCCTTGCGTCTCTATGGTGGAAGGATATCATAAAGATTGGAGATTCTTGTAAACATAATAGTTTTCTCAAGAAATTGTCTTGGAAGTTGGGTGATGGTGAACTGTTTTCTTTTTGAAATTCTCCTTAGCTAGGTGCATCATCTTTGAAGACTCTTTTTCCAAATTTGTTTGAATTTTTTATACTCAAACAAGTTGTTATCATTGAAGTTGGTTGTTGGTATAATAACCTTTAGTTGTGGGATGCTGCCAAATTGTTTGATGAGGAGCAATCTTAGGATGGGGAGGATTTTTGTGAATTAAGGGCTTCGTTGGAAGATTACTAGCTAGAATCAAATATTAGCATTGCTTTGGACATTCTGTGGTAGACGCACATTCTATTAAAAGCTAGAGTTTTTGGTTGGACGCTTTTGTTGAATTGATTGCCTACGAGTGTCAATCTTGTAGATTGAGGAGTTATTTCAAATCCACACGATAAGGTGTCCGTTTTCTGTTTCCAGACTGTTGAAGATCTCGATCATATTTTCTTATCTTGTACAAAAACAAAATTGGTTTGGATGAAGGTAGTGTCTTGGTTGGGAATTTACATTCCAAACATGTCGGGCTGTCGGAATCATATGTTGCCTTGGTTCATAACTTTGGTTGGGAAATTGTCGAAATCCAATGCTTGTTTAATTTGGACGACAATATGTTGGTGCATATGATGGACAAGAAACCAGATGATTTATAATGATGTGATTGTTGTCCCGAACGAAGTGGTTCAAAGAGTTATTCATTTTTCGTGGTGGTGGTTCGGTTCAACTTCGAAAAAAAATAATCAGTGTAACTACTATGAGTGGTGTAAAAATTTAATAGATTTTTTTTAGATTGTGGTTGTATTAAGCTTTGACTTGTTTTTGTTTTAGTACCCTCATGAGTGATCCTCTTGAAAATTGGTGGGCTTAAAATACCATTTTTATCATCTTAATATATTTTTATTAATTATAAAATATATATATTTGATCATAAATAACGATAAAACAATAAGATAAAATGATTTTTTTATGAAAGATACATTGAACCCGAAGAATAAAAAAATCCAAATATATCATTTTATAAAATTGTTAGATCTTTACCAATGTAAATATATCACCTCCCTCAAAATAAATAAAATAAAATAATAAGAAAATAACACCTAAAACTTATCATTGAAAAGATAGTAAGATTGTAAAGTGAATAACCAAAAACAACATTAAAGAATAATTATATTTAATCATGCTATCACATTCAAGTAAATAATAAATTACAAGTAAAAAAAAATTATTTAGATTAATTTGTTATCGAACTCTAAATAATTAATTTTTTTTTTTTGTCAGATTTTATTTATTTAACGATTGAATTTAGAATTATTAAAACCTGAATTTTTTGAAGAATAAAATTATCATGTTTAAAGTTTGTGCTTGACCTTCAAATTGATTGGAGTGTACACGTGTGGGTGATATGCATATAAAAATAATGTTTATTTCCATCACTAATAAAATAACTAATTTCTTCATAATCTTGACCTTCAATGGATGCATGGACGACACATCAAATCAACGATGCAAGTTGTCTTGGTTGGTCGGAGGGAAAGATATAGAAATTGTCGGCATTATTAAATTTAAATAAAATATTGTTCAACTTATTCACATTTAGCATATTACTGGACAAGGTTGTGACACACGTTACTTTGTTTTTGACCTAGCAACATGAAAATCTAATTTTGCATGAGCTAGCACGTATAAATCAATACAAGTAGAGCTGTTGGTGATTAGTTGCCAGTAATTAAAACGATTAGGTTTATAAATATGAGATTAATTAGTTCTATGGTATTGGAACTAAGACAAGACAAGACAACCCCACGTGTATTGCGGTGTTTAACATTTTTCCATCATCTCAAAAAGAAAAAGCCTCTACATAATTATATTTATGATTTCCCATCTCAAATGTGTGAAAGGTTTTCTACTTTACATTGATCAAGTAATGTAAGTTGCGGACTCTCAATCAATTGTATATTGTTTAAAATAATAAATAGCTAATTTATAATATTAATAGTTAAAGATATTTTAATTTAGACTCCTACGTCGCACAATATATGACTTAAACATGTTTTTATAAAATGAAAATAATTATCAGTCTACAAGTCGGTTTTATAGAAATTAAGTTAAGTCTAACCACATTTTTTAATATGGTATCAATTAATATCTGATGGACCACCTGCTATTAGGTTTCTGCTATCGAACCACCAATCATTTATTTTTACGCTCTAGTTTGAGCGTAAAGGAATGTGTTAAGAGTCGCAAATTAGACAATATATAGTTTGAACATGTTTTATAAGTAGAGGCAATCCTCACCCGGTAAGTCAGTTTTCTAAGGTTGAGTTAGGCATAACCACATTTCTTAACATGGTATCAAGAGTCTAGCTTAATACTCGGTGGACTACCTGCTATCAAGTTTCTTCTATCGGACCACCCACTATTTATTTCCACGCTTCAGATTGGGCGTGAAGGGGTGTGTTAAGAGTCCTACATCGGACAATATATGGCTTGAACATGTCTTTATAAGTAGGGGCAATCCTAATCCTACAAGTGAGTTTTGTAGGGTTGAGTTAGACTTAACCACGTTATAGAGATATGTTCGGATTATATATTGTCAAATATAGAACTTTAACACACCTCTTTACGCTTAGAATTAGACATCTGGAGCATGAAAATAAATGATAGGTTGTTTGATAGCAAAAAGTTGATAGCAGATGGCCCATCGAATATTAAAACGAGATCTTGATATCATGTTAAGAAATGTCGGAAGTAACTCAACCCTACAAACTGACTTATAGAGTGGGAATTGCCCCCACTTATAAAATCATATTCAAACCATTTATTATTCAATAAGACACTTAACAAAAACTATGTTTATTATCTATAGACAATTTTGATTTAATTTTGTAGAAGCTACAAGTTCTATTTTAAGATCTATTTTTAAGATATATATATATATATATATATATATATATATATATATATATATATATATATATATATATATATATATATATATATATATATATATATATATATATATATATATATATATATATATATATATATATATATATATATATATATATATATATATATATATATATATATATATATATATATATATATATATATATATATATATATATATATGAATGATGTTTTCATCTTTTTCTCTTAGCTTGTTAGTTTATATACAGTTTCACATGCCCAGTCTCTATAAGAGCGCATTAGATGAGACATAAACATTTATATTCTATTGTGTGTCTGAAATCAATAAATAGGAATCAATTCTATTGTGTGTCTGAAATCAATAAATAGGAATCAATTCTCTTGTTTTTATGTATAGGATCGACTATTTATGATTGTCAATATGTCTTTAAGACTATGTAGGTATCTTGAAACGTATTAGCCATCAATTAAATGTTTATTTTCTATGTATTTTACTTGACCTATTTATGTTGATAAATTCGGTCTTGTCTCATGAAATACTTTGAATCGAGGCGGGCTCTCTGAAACTTGGGAATAAACTCCTTTTCTATTTATTCAAATTTACCTTTTGGAAAGTGCATTTGACTAAACTTGTTCATTTTCTAAATAGGAATTATCCATTAAGAGTATTTATCTATTATATATGAGTCTCTCTAATATTTATTTATGAAGTCTTTCTTAAAAATACTTGCGATCTATTACAAATATTTCTACTCATAATACATAGGATTAGGATTTTTCAAAAATCTAGAGAGCGGAACAAAATCACGTAACCGAACTGAACTCTTGTTAAATAACAAAATCATTTCTTTTGGTTAAAAAACCGAATCAGTATTTTTCAAACATGCCAAGAACCGAACCGAACCGTAGTTAACCAAACCAAACTGAAATAACCAAACCAAAACTTATTAACCAAATATATGGTACTCATTATATGTTTAGACACAAAGCTGGACCAAACTAAATTGAACCACAACAAAAATTTAAAAATATAACAATTCATTTCAAGAAAAACTACCAATAGTTTGGTTCGGTTGGGAATTTAGGACCGGTATACCAAACCAATCGTTCGGCTCAGCTTGGTCGGGAATAACTGAAATGGTCCAGTTTGATTCTTTAAATTTTTTTGTAATGGTTTAGTTCATTTTTGTTTAGTTTTATGCCTTAACCATACTATGAACATTCACTCGTATCTTTCATTTCAAACTTATTAGAAATAAAGCTTTTTACATCGTGTAACAAAATAACATTTTTCTTACAAATATATTTTCTTTAATTTGTCATTAAAAAAGTCTCTTACATGTCATTGTATCTTTTTCCTATCCTTATTTCTTCTTCCAACCACCGCAAATGTTTGTTCCATCATGAACCTCCTTTTTCTCCACTCGCAATTATAAACGAATATCAATGTCCTTCCCAATTATTGTTAGTTTTTCGTCTCCATTACAATGATATGGATTGACATTGATATTCACTCATGATAGAGAGACGATAAGTAGGGAAAGGTGAAGTTTGGGATGACATAGACTCTATGAGCGACTAATGATGATGAGAGAGAAAATGAGATGAAAATGATGGAATTACATGGGGGTAATATACCATAGGTAAAATTTTTCAATGTTACTTTTATTATTATTCAGTAATCTTTTACTTTTTAATTTCATCTATTTAATTTGTTTTTACCATGTGTCATAAGAACTAGGATTTGAGAGGATGTATGAGTGATTTATATTCCCTTATGTATATTTTTAGGATGTTGTTCCTTACTTACACAACTACAAAATCAACAGAAAAAATTAGTGTTTAATTGACTATAAATATAATGGAAGCAAGATGCACAATGTGAACAAACATCTTTTGTTATCTGTTCTGTTGGAAAAAATTGGTTAATACCATATCCCTTGGGTTTTGATGATAATAAAGTACTTAAAGAACAATTGGGCTTTACAACATATGTTCAAGTTTGCAAGGACATAATCATTAAGAACAGATGAGTAAATACTTGAGAAATTTGTATCTAAAGATCGAACTCTGGTTCTGAAGATCACTTCTGAAGACTCTAGCTCGGATGG